CCCCCGAATAGACAAGGTGTGGGATATCAGCAAGCCCCACCTCCGCTCCCACCACCGGCTAAAATCATACATATGATTACGGGAGGCCTTGAAGCAGGAGGACTGAGCTCTAAACAGCGAAAGCTGTATGTCAGAGAGGTTAAGCATCAGAACCGAGCTCAGAAGCGGAAGATTGACGATGCTGAATGGAAGAATCAACCCATTATTTTTACATCTGCCGACCTCGCCACAGTTGTTACACCCCATAATGATCCTCTGGTCACTTCTGTCATGATTAATAACTGTGAAGTACAACGTGTCGTTGTTGACACCGGGAGTGCACCAGACATCATGTATTTTCACTGTTTCGAGAGTTTGGGACTGGATCCAGCATTGTTGCAAAAGTATGATGGTCCCATCTATGGTTTCAACAACCAACCTGTTCCGGTAGAAGGAGTTCTTACCCTCCATGTGGCTTTTGGAAGTGGTCGGACCTATGTCGCCCCTTTAGTCCGGTTCCTTGTCGTCAAGATGGCCTCTTCTTTTAATATTGTTATTGGCCGACCCACATTGACCGAAATTCGAGCTGTGGTTTCCCAATCTCACCTCTGCATGAAGTTCCCCACTCCTATGGGAATAGCAACATTGCGAGGAAATCAGGAGGTGGCCAGACACTGTTATATCACCTCGGTAACACAACCAACGAAGGGCAAAGATAAGACACCCGAGGTCATTCCCCAGCAGATTCCTGATAATCAGCAGGTAATGGGTGTAGAGATCATTGACAATCGACCGGATGATGAAACCAGAGCTGCTCCGGTTGAAGATGTTGAAGAAGTGCTCGTTGATGACAGAGATCCGAGCCGAAAAACGCAGATCGGAACTAGATTGAACCCGGAAGAGAGAGCAGAACTGATAGCTTTTCTCCGAGCTAACAATGATGTATTTGCATGGACTTCGGCGGATATGCCAGGAATTCCAACTTCAGTATGTCAACATAGGCTCAGTACCAATCCGTTGAAGAAACCAGTGGCCCAGAAGCGGCGTCTCTTCGGGGGGAGAGGCTTCAAGCTGTCAAAGAAGAGGTGGAAAAGCTCCTACAGGCTGGTTTTGTCAGGAAAGTTGATTACTGCGAATGGGGCAAATGGCGAATGTGTATCGATTATACAAATCTTAACAACGCCTGCCCCAAGGATTGCTATCCGATGTCGAGCATTGACAAATTAGTTGAAGCGGCTTCAAGCAACGAGAGGTTAAGCCTCTTGGATGCATATTCTGGGTATCACCAGGTGCCGATGGCTCCCGAAGACGAAGAGAAGACCTCGTTCTATGCTGGCGACGAGATTTATTGTTATGTCATGATGCCGTTCGGTTTAAAGAACGCAGGTGCTACTTATCAGAAAATGGTGACCATAGTCTTCCGAGCTCAGATTGGCAAGAATCTGGAGGTGTATGTGGATGACATTGTGGTAAAGAGTCTGAAGGCAGAAAACCATCTAGCCGACCTCGACGAAACCTTTAACAACCTCAGAAAGAACCGGATGCAGTTAAATCCAGCCAAATGTATCTTCGGAGTGGAGTCTGGAAAGTTTCTAGGTTTCATGGTGTCCCGAAGAGGGATCGAGGTCAATCCAGAGAAGATCAGAGCAATTGCCGAGATGGAACCACC